TATATATATATATATATTTAAGGTGATTTTATCCATTAATTTTTAAATAAAAAAATAATATTGAATAAAAATAGTATTAAACACAAGACTTGAACTTAAAAATCTAATGTTTAAAGATCAAATGCAACACTAATTAATCTAACAAATATTTATAATTTTTAAATATCTTTATGATAAAAATAATTAAATTAGATATTTAATTAAAAACCCATAAAAATATAATTGAAAAAAAAATCTTAAAAATGCTCACACGTGTTTAATACATTGAGGATTGATTTGTTAGCAAAACAGATGACACTATTCAGCTAAGGCCAACTACTGTCCCCGTTTTTTGGGTTTTTTAAGGAGGGGCCATGTCCTAGTTGTTGTTTTTTTGGTAAATGGCCATTTCCTAATTTGAACCATGGTAAAATTCCATTTACCCATTAAATAAATTTAATTTGGAACAATGAAAAGGGAGGGGGAAATATCTCTGGTACTCACGAACAAATATATTTTATACGTCATTATCAAATCAGAAAAGAAAAAAAAAACCCAATTAACCTAAAATAGTACTAGGATTAATCTTATGTCAGTGGCCCTAGTCTACAGTTCTTAGAGATTAGTCTATTATTTCACCTTCAGGATTTGGTCTTACTATAAAGGAATCAAGTTCCAAATATCCTCGTAATTTTTTATTTGCGTGCTTTTATATTGGATTGCTTAATTAAAAGAATAAGGTTTTCAAAGTTAATGTTTCTCAAACCGATTAAAAAAACTATTAATTAAGGACATTCTTAAGCTTTCAAAAGTAAAAAAACAAGAGATATCCAAGAGCAACAACCGCCCTCGTTACAGAAAATTCTTGGTCTGGATTATCTTCCCTTATGTTTCTCATTCAGAGGAAATCAAATGTACCATGATGCGGTAACTTTAAACCAAGACTTATATGACATGGTAGGGATGACCATTTGTCCGTGTGAAACTTAGTGTGTTCAGAAATAGAAACGGACATGTAAATTTAATTAATCCTAGAAAGGGAACTATGTGTTAAGAGATACGTGTTGTTGATTCAGGTAACTAGTGAGAATTTCAATAGAATTCAGAAGTAACAATTTCTATATAAAAAAAAAATGGCATGTGCAAATTTAAGTAGAAGTCTAAAAAATAAGGAATCTAGAAGTGTGACTTTAGATAAAAGATTGAAAAGGAAAACGAGCTACTATCATCAATAATTGAATCAGGTGATACTTTACCACGCGTGCACTAGCAACAACTTCGGGAAGTAGTAGTGGATACACATACACTAAAACTCTGTATTTAATAAGTAAAAGTACAGTTTAAACTTAGCCGTTGTTTTATACATTTTGCCCCATGAGGATTATGTTGGAATTCATGCGTATAATTTTGTCACTCAATTCCTTTCACCACAAAAACTTACACTAAAAACCAATGTCATCCATTCCTTACCCCTTCCATTCCAATATTTTGGCATCCTGAGCAGGGCAGAGGCAACATACATAGGATCGAGATACTTCTTAATCACATTGATTTCTCCTACGGCTTAGGTATACAGCCTACGAATTGATTACATGATAATATCTTGGGTTGATAATCGAGTACAGTAAATAAAAACAGAGAAACCATGTCACAAGCTTACTCTATTCAGAAACCCACTTCAAAACTCAGTTCTCTAACTAGTCTCTCAATGATAATGTCAGTCCTAGTTACGAAAATAACAAATAAAAATAGTGATTTATCAGCATGCAAGCTTCAATTTACGTTTAATTGGTGATCATTTTAAACTGGAATCTGGACAGTTGCTGGGGAATGGTGGATATAACTGGCCCGTATCTCTGCAAAAAAAGAAAATGGTACACAAATTTCATACAACACAGAATAAATTATAACAATTTGATTGATAAGCATAGTTATGTGAATAAGTTTCATAATTAATACCATAATCAATCATCAGATGAAAAATTTTAATAAGTGCCAAATAAAAGCATTTTAGATATGCCCCATAATCTCCCACATCAATTGATAGGATTCCTTTACTTGAAACATTTTCAGTTAATATATATGTTTTCCCATTAAACAATAGATGATAAGAATTTTAATTCTTCACATTATAAAGAATTCATTATACAATCTAGTGATAGAAAAAAAAAATTAAAAATATTAAGTTCAAACCTGGACATTGTCATAGAGTTCAAACAACGGAACAGCAAGCAGTTTTAAATTTTTGGGCACTGCAAAGTATTCTCTCTCAGACAGATGAACAAGGAAAAGCTTTTTGCACTCCTACATTCAAGATAGTCAACCATATTATTGTAAACAAGGACCAACTGACTAAGAAAGCCAGGAATGCAAGATATCCAATGACATTGTCTTCGTAAATTACCTTGGGTTTAGTTATATGAGGAGGGCAGTATGGATACATTATAGTTTCAAAATTTGGCCTCCACCAAATTGCAACACACTCGCCAATCTGCAGTTTTCCAAGGATAAGTGCTAATGAATAACAAATATGGGGATAGTCACAGAATGCCAAATTTAACGTATTTATCCAGAGTCCCAACATCTAAAGAGTAAGTAATAATACCTCCCAGTCAGGCACAAGAGCTGGTGAATTAGCACCAAGCTTGCTAGTCAACTTTCTCTTCAAGCCCTCAGTTTCTGTAAACAGCATCAAATAACCCCAAAAGAAAAGTACATTAGGAAAATCATAAGCTGCTATTTTCAGACTATCATATTCAGAATATAGAAGCAAAATCTTACCATTCTCTCCTGGTTTGAGACGACCACCTGGTAGTTTGCAGAATGTGTTTCCTATTTGCAGAAGAAGTATATGAGGATGATTGTGTTCTTGTACCTACAAAATTAAAAGCATAAAGACAGCAATAAGCAGATTCTCAAAGCAAATTAGATGAAAGTCTTTCTTAATGAAAGCAATGTGACAGATGAGAATTAACAAGAACATAGTGGGAAGCCATGGACTAAGTAATTGAAAAAGTAAAAAATCTAAGTGACCCAGACGAATTTAGCAGGGAATTGATCAGATGTGTAAAGGATCTCACTGACAGTGGAATCCACTTTTTTCCTCACTTATAGAAGTGCCTTTCTGACCTCAGCGTGTCAAAGCTTTTTTTTATTTTTTGTGGGGGGAGGGGAGGATACCTCATGACCACCAAGTTGAAAGTTAACAATCTTATTTTCTTATTGGAGTAAACCAAGGATATCCTCCAACCGTTAGTTGAAGACTAATTCTTTTTGAGACATAGAAATCACTGAAAAAGGGCACCGCTAAAGAACTGAATTATTGTCATAATGGTTAACAATCTTATTGTTGCACCAAGATTCGCCCTCATAATGGGCAGCACAATGCATAAGGTTGTAGAGGGTCAAATGTAAATAGTCTTACCATTATCCAATCTAAGCATAGAATTATAGATGTCTAGGATTGGATACTTGTCAATTCTTTATTATTCACCAAAACAGCAACTAATGATTAGTCCCCATGTTCCATAATATATGTCTATTCTATTGTATACAATTCCTGCGTGATAAGTCAAACATGCCTCTCTTCTACAAAATGAAATTAAAGTTGCATGGGAGAAGTGACAAGTATCCAATCTATCACGCAGAGAAATTGACTCGACTAAAATCAGGCAGGTATCATCTATCACCAATCCTTCAATTCAGATAATTAACACAACCAAACATTGGCATACAAAATCTTATAATTTCAGCAAGTTATTGAAATCAATTAACTCAATTTACTATCATAATTCAAATCTCAACCAACACTAGTTCCAACTTTTAGCATCCTACAAGAGAATATTTCAAGTAAAGATCACAACATCAATACTGTTCTGTACCTTCTACACACCAAAAAATAAATAAAACAGCAAAGCCCCAAAACGTGGCAGATAATTGTACGTTATCCTATATACTGTGTTACAAGTTCATGGAAATAATTTTCTAGCTAATGATAAGTTTAGATAATAATTAATAAAAATTCAACCATGACAAGTAGTCTAGTCTAGGGACCAAATTGAAAAAGAAAAAAAAAAAAAAAAAAAAAAAAAAAAAAAAAAAGTGTCATGTATGTAAACCATAAATACTGTATATTTAGTTCTTATACGCGATTATCATTTTCAATTTAGCTTTTTCATGAAACAATTGTTTTGAATTTTGCGCTTATACTTAAGGGTAACTGAATGGCAAGGCAACAGATGATTAGGAGGAAGTTAAAAAATGTTGTTCATATAGGGAGGAAACTGAACTAGAGAGAGAGAGCAGTGACTTAACATACCAGTAAAATTCCTTCGACACTGGTCCTCATCCCTTCCTTCATGTAGCTGAAACAAAAGAAATAAACAAATTTCATAACCGTTAGGGTATAAAACGAAGAGGAGGTTAGGGTTTGGGGTTTAGGAAAAGAAAAGGGAGAAAGGATACGAACTTGACTTTCATACGAGCGAGACGATCGGCGACGGAGGTGTCCTTCTCCATCTTGGGCTCCTTGGTGCCGAAGGTGTAGCTGGACAAGGGATACGTATTCACCACCTTCGACGACACCATTTTGTGTTCCCTGCTATGGATGAATCGAACAGAAGAGAGTGAGTTTGTTTTGTCTTTTGGAAATTGGGATGACCGATTGATTAGGTCTGTGTGTTTTCATATTTCAATGTCCGTTCCTTACTGTTAGATCTCACCCGCACCGGATCATGGGCCTTAGCCTTAGCCCGCTCCCTTTATCCACCTTCATGTAAAAACACACCGCTTCAACTCGGCTTTAAAAAATAATTCATTTTCATTAATACTATCTTAGTTTGCCTAATATATACAATAAATATTTCTTTTATATTTATAATAGGTAATTTTAAAGGTTTAAATTATATTTTATGTAATGCACTGCTTCAAATCTTAGTTAAAATATAATTTTATTGGCCGGAAGTAGTTTATAAAATAAAATATCCAACTTGAAAAAAAATAGAAATGGTGAATGTCTCTTTTCAATTATATGTTTTCTAAATCAATTTTACCAAACTCTAAAATAATAAGTTAAGAATTTATATATATGAGGTGACATACTCCATAATTAAAGAAATTCATTATATATCCAACTTCACCTCCAACCCAAGGATGGCGTTGCCCCTTAAACTTTGAGGTTATCTCATTGGTTTCGTTTCGAACATTGTACAATATTAATTCGTTTAATAGTTGTGACTAACTGATGGGGTTATTTTATGGTACTTGTCTGAGAGGATATTTTATAATTTTATTACAAACATACTCCACAATGATGAGATATTGTCCACTTTGGGACTTAGCCCTCACGATTTTATTTTTTGGTCATCACCCAAGGCCTCTCAATCATTGAAATATGTTTATGTTATATAAATTGTTATTTCTTGTTTTATTTTATCGATGTGGGACTTGTTTAAATTTCAACACTAACCTACAAAACAATATTGTTTGGAGGTAGTAATAATGAGGGTGGGAGGAGGTAGTAGGAGTTCAATGTCCTTGAAAACAACGTTATGGAGAAACTTGACGAGGAGTGAGAACAAGGTTGCATGAGGAGATGTCTAACCGCAATGATGAGAGGAAGGGACATCAAGATCAAGACAAAACAAAGACATCAAAAAGAAGCTAGTTTTAGCTTTTGGTGCCGAATAATGTAACACTTCGATTTCTATAAAATATAATATAAATCTTTTATCGATAATTTTGATATTTTTATTTTTTATTAATAAGAGTTCTTTTATATTTATTTAATTATTTTATATTTTTTAAAATATAATATAAGATATTTTATTAAAAAGATTTATTATGATATTTCATTAAGATGGAAGAGATTTGTAAATGTGATTATGTATTTATTTGAAGGAAAATCATGGGAAGGTTAAGGTTTTTAAAAAAAAAATTAATCAAACATTTTTTACGTTTTCATTTTATACATGCACTTTGGAGTTTAAAGAACAAAAGTAAGAAGAAAATTATCTTGGAATCGTGCATTCGTCTTCTTCTACTTACTAAGGTAAGAATGAGTGAGAAGTCTCACTTTGAATGTGGGATTATATGTTGGATAATGGGATTGACATCGATTATGTGCATGTTGTATGCCTATGTGTGTGAGAATTTTCCAAAATGCGTATGTTTTATCTCTTTTTCTCTTTACACGTTCTTAATGACATGAATTGTTCAGATGTATGGTGAGTTATATATGTTTAGATTATAATTGTATGACTTGAGGTTCTTATGGGTTTGTATGGGAAACCCTAAGGGAATTTGTTGTGATAATTTGTTCAATATGTATCAAGCATATCTTGAGATTGGTACCACATACATGCAAATTTAAGAGTTTGTGTCATTTGCATTTCATACTTGCATGTAAATGAATTAATTATGATTGATGTGTCTTAGATGAGTAATTGTATAAATGATGGTAAATAAGTTTATTGTATTGATTGTGATAATAGAGGAATGTGTGATGTGTGAAATGAGAGCATGTGTATGTTATTGCATAAAGTTTGTTTGACATGCATCATATGCACGTAAATTGACAAATCGACAAAATGTTTAATATGCATTGTGCATATCTTGAGATTGGTACCATGTGGATGCAAATCAAAGTTCTATGTTCTCTATATTGCATAGTTGCATGTAAATGAATTAATAATGGTTGGGGCGTCATGAATGAGTAATTATATCAATGATGATGAATAAGTTATTGAATTGGTCGTGATAACTATTATTAATATCATGTTATTGTGTAAATAAAGTGTGTATGATTATTTGTTATTTATTTCATGTCATTAGCTAAAGTGGAAAGTGTGCATGGCTACGTATTGTTTTATGTCTTGTTTGTGTTTGACTATCCAGTTTGCATTTTTGCACCATAAGCTAGAGTGAGGTGTTTGTCACTCCATTTGTCTTGTGTTATTTTCATTAGTTGTTATGCATGTGATCATCAACACGAGGTTGAAGATGTTGGTGATAAGGCTTAAACTTCAGTGTTAGGTTTTACTTTAATAAAACATGTGACATTGGACTAGTTAGGACTAGATTAGGATATCGTTTAGTTGAATTATTTTGTAAAATATTTTTTTATTTTCTTACAATTTCATTGATTATGTTATTTGGTTGAGTTAAAAATATGATACTTAAAACCTAAACATGTTTAGTTTATTTATAGAATTTGTATTATTTAGTTTATTTCGTTACTTATGTGTTATGGCATATGTGGAATAGAGGTGTTACAAATAAAGCAAATGGCATCATCGACCTCTTTAGGATATCAAACATGAACTAAAAGACAAATATTTTAATTAAAGATTTAATAATATTTTTATTATAGTTAAAAATATTTTAAAAAAATATTTAATTATCTTAACTTGTTTGGATCACATGACAAGCTTCCTCGTGATAGTATTAACCTAGTTTGATATGATAGAAATTGAGAAGAAACTAGATAGAGTGAAAATGAATAAGAGATAGGCAATAAGATTTTTTTTATTAGTAGGAAAGATGTAAACAACAAAAAGGAGAAAAAAAATCTAACAAACTACCCCTCAAATACAAGGTTCTCATTATATCCCAACAATGAAAACATGTGAGTAAGATAAGAAAATCACATGACCAACGTGTCAAATAAGATATTTCCAATCTTAATAAAAGAGTTTGCTATCCTATTCTATTCCTGATAAATATATAAAAAAAATGAAAGTTATTTGGATATAGAAAGTTTATAATTTTAGAAGTTAAAAGAACATAAGGAGAGTCAACAAAATTCAATATTGAATAAGAAAAGTAATCACTTATAAAATTTATTCACATATTATATTTAGAAAATCACATTATTAAACTATAAATGAATAATGAAAAATAACAAACGGTTCATTTGTATTTGAAGAAAAATTACACAATTCACATATCTCTTTATCCAATTTCTAATATGATATTTGAAAGCTCCTCCAAAAATTGAAAATTAAAAAATACAAACAAATAAATAAATAAAACATTAAATATATTTGAATTTATTAAATTGATTTTGATTTAATTCGATATAAATAATTACAAATTCGATTTAATTTATTTTGATGAAGAGGAAAAATTAGGGGGATAGAGTGAGTGCAGTGACAGTGACGGTGATAGCATTGGGGACGTAACAGAGAAGAACATAAAAAGGCGAAGCGCGCGAAATCCAGCATCGGCAGTGGGCAAATGGGAAAGCAAAAGCAACAAGTGATTTCCCGCTTCTTCGCTCCGAAACCCAAAACTCCTCCATCAGCCACTTCCCAAACACCTCCTCCTACTCCCACTCCCAAAATCTCAGCCACCGTCGCTTTCTCCCCTTCCAAACGCCGCCTCACTTCCCATCTCACACCCCCTCGCAAACACCAGAAGCTTCTCGAACCTTCCACGTCCTCTCAGCCACAACCTTCTTCTTCTTCTTCCAAGCCCCCAAACTACACTCCCTTGGAACAACAGGTCCTAAACCTCAAGGCCAAACACCCCGATGTCCTCCTCATGGTCGAAGTCGGTTACAAGTACCGTTTCTTCGGCCAAGACGCGGAACACGCCGCCAGAGTTCTCGGCATTTACGCCCACGTGGACCACAACTTCTTAACCGCGAGCATACCAACTTTTCGACTCAATGTCCACGTCAGAAGGCTCGTCAGCGCGGGCTACAAGGTCGGCGTCGTCAAGCAGACCGAGACCGCCGCCATCAAGGCCCAAAGTTCCAACCGTTTGGGCCCATTCTGCCGTGGGCTTTCGGCCCTCTACACCAAGGCCACGCTAGAGGCGGCGCCGGATTTGGGGGGACCCGAGGACGGGTGCGGGGGAGAAAGCAACTACTTGATGTGTGTGGTGGAGAAGAGTGTTTTGGGTGAGAAGGGAAATTGTGGGGTTAATGTCAGGCTTGGGTTTGTTGCTGTGGAGATTTCCACCGGGGATGTTGTTTATGCGGAGTTTGGTGATGATTTTCTGAGGGGTGCGCTTGAGGCTGCTCTTCTGAGCTTGTCTCCGGCTGAGTTGCTTCTTGGGGACCCTCTTTCGAAGCAAACAGACAAGGTAGTTTTATCTGTAGGAATCACTCGCCTTTTAATTTCGTCATGTTCATTAATGTGTTGTCAATGGAACTTCAGTCTGTATGTAGTTGCTGCACGTTATTTGAAATGGTTTTTATTCATGGGATGTTGAATGTTGATGTCTTGATACATGGAGCATGTGTAGTTTGAAGTTCAGGTTTCAAGGTAGCTTCTTTCTTGCTCCCTCGAAGAGGTGGAGCATGTTTGATACTGCAATGTACTGTTTCTTAACATTGCTTCTAGCTGAGCCATCTAAAATTGGATTCATTTGGATTTCGCTTGTTGAGGTTGGTAAAATATTCATGGGCACGGGTGTTTATTGAGGAAAAGTAGCGAAAACATTTGATTTATCACTCATTGTAATTTATATATGGTTATGCAGTACAAATCCCTTATCATAATACAGATATTTTGTGTGACAATCTGATTTAGATTGTCACACAGATACAATAGATGGAATTTTGAATAATCTGAACAGAGGATTAAAGTTTCCAGTATTGTATGTTTTGATTTGAAAAACTTATCAACAAAAATTTAATGTGCGTGAGTGTTTCCATTCTTAGTGGAGTTTATACGTCGGTCCTTCATAGTTTAAAATATATCATCAATTTAGGGGTGAAATTGGTGCTATTTTATTTTAAGCATTAAAGGACCAAATTGATGTCCAAAATCATTGTTGGACCAACATTACATCTTATGTGACAACCAATTTGATTCTTTACTCTTACCATTTATATACTGTACAATTGGGTATATCTTCGCCACTTTTTGAATCATTTTTCTATTTATCTCCATGTTCTTGTATCTTGGCAATCTTCTCTTCTAACAAAAAGAATGATGTTTTAACAATTTGAAGTTTGTTGAAATGATTTCATGCTTGGAAAACTTATTTCTGAAACTATAAGGTAATTACTGTTCTTAATATTTTTTTAGAATAAAATATTATCCCAACAGGGAGAATGTTCTTATAGTTACTAAATGAATTACTGTAAAACTCTACTATCATTGAACCCAATTATGTGATCGGGTGTTCTGTTATTAGTTATTGTTGAATTTTGCTGGACCTGCCTCAAATGTTCGAGTAGAGCGTGTTTCACGAGATTGCTTCACTGGGGGGGGTGCTCTTGCTGAAGTTATGACCCTGTACGAGAACATGCATGTAGAAGGTTCATCAGATTCAATACAAAGCAATGATTTGGCTGAGAACAGAAGTCAGCAGTTAGTAATCAAGGTATCAACTATTGGTATATATACTTATATATAAAGATGATTTCCTATTTTTGTGCATACATTTTTTTTTTTACAAATTTTAAATTTTAAATAAAAATAAAAAACTGCACGATAATAGTTAATAAAAAGGTCATAAAAGTCTTTTAGTGTACAAGTTTTATTCTTAAAACTATTATTGAATAAGAATAACTGCACACTATTTCACTAACATGTGTATTTAAGCGGAGACACAAATTGTTTTTTTTTTTTTCCTACTAGTTTATTAAGAAAAGTTATTCCCTTAGAAGGCATTAGAAACTCTTAAAATCATTTTTTTTTGTTAGTTTGAGTATGCATTTTTAAGTCAAAATCTATCTTGTGATTATTGACCATGCCATTGTAATTTGTTATATTTTATGACAAATGTAACCAGGTGCCAAATTTCCATATACTTCTCTCGGTGTTCTTATAAGACCCAAATCAAGTGTTGCTTGGTCCTTTTTATAAGAATTAAGTTAAAATGTCTCTTGCATTAATTATTTTCTTACAAGAAATACCCTTTAATTGAAGTAGTTGGTAGAGTAAGAGTCTCATTAATATTAGGGTTATTTAATATTTATGGGAAAAAAACAAATTTAGGGCAAATTTAATTCTATCAACTAAATTAACCAACTTCCTTAATCCTAGTGAATTAAGTAATTGGGTTTTATAAAAAGGAATGAGGGAGTACTTCTCTTTTCTATCAACTCTTATGTGTTTAATTTTTTATTCACCAGATCATAGCTTGTAGTTTTTTTTTTCTTCACAGATGCTAGCTTTACATTTATTGTTTTTGCTCTTTCTAGTTTCTACTCATAACTAGTTCTGTTTTCATCTCTACTCTTTTTATTATAAAGGAGGTGATGAACATGCCAGATTTGGCTGTCCAAGCTTTGGCCTTAACTATTCGCCATTTGAAGGAATTTGGTTTTGAAAGAATTCTGTGTTCAGGAGCTTCTTTAAGGCCCTTCTCAAGCAAAACGGAAATGACTCTCTCAGCCAATGCACTTCAACAACTGGAGGTGATTATAAACTGTACATTTTTTGATAACGTTTAGTAAGTACTGGAGCATATTTTATGCTTACTTGCTACATGTTTTAATTTTTTCGATGTCTCAAAGTGAGCAATTACAAATTGTGCATATGTGTGTAGGTTAAACTTAAATATTCAGTAGGAACTAATCAGTATTGCTCCTTTGTCTCACAGTCATGACAATTTTGGCTAATTACCAATCTTGTAAACATACACTTTGACTACGATTTCCTTTCAGTACTCCTACAATGCATGAATAAACTGGCACTATTAATAATATCTAATCAAACCAAAACCTGAACTGCCCTTTCTTTGGTTCAGGTATTAGTTCTCGTAGATTCATATAATTGTATAGCAATCAAATATCTTGGCTTTATGCTGGCCAGTTGCTTCTGGCCCATAACATGAATGGCTGTATTCTTTTACAATGAGTCATAAGATGATGAATATATTTTATACTTGTGAAATATATTTTATACTTGTGTTCTATAAGCTAGAAGATCATTTTTAATACCAACATAATATTCCCTGTAGTTCTTGTAGCCAATGAATGCTTCATGTATTTTCAGGTTTTGAAAAATAATAGTGATGGATCTGAGACCGGTTCCTTGCTGCAAATTATGAATCGAACTCTTACTATATTTGGTTCCAGGCTTCTTAGGCATTGGGTATGAGGTGCTTTCATTCCTCATATACAAACACTGAATGTTGAATTCTTGATTGTCCTGTCTCTATGAGCCATTGAACGAAGAAGATCCATCTTTAATTATTGTTCTTGTGGGTGATACAGGTATCTCATCCTCTGTGTGATCAAACCTTAATTTCTGCTCGTCTTCATGCTGTAACTGAAATTGCAGAGTCCATGGGATCTTGTAATAGTGTGAAGAATCTTGGACATGTTGAGGAAGATCCTGATGTAGCAATTGTGCAACCTGAGTTAGCATACATACTTTCACTGGTTTTGACAACTCTTGGCCGAGCACCTGATATACAACGTGGAATTACAAGAATTTTCCATTGCACTGCTACCCCATCTGAGGTGATAAATGGATTCTTGTTGTCAATTGTCATGTTCTTGTATTTCACTATATTCTGTACTTCAATCAATTGTCTTTATATTCCTTGTAATTTCTTTTCACAATGGAGCTTTATATGAGATAGGGAGACAGAAAGAGAGCTAAACATATTCTGTGGATTACTTAATGACAATATTCTCTGCATGGGCATGGCAAGATTTAACTGTTCTGATGTGAGTCTCGTTTCATGTTCAATTAAGAGCAATATGCATGCTAAGAATCTGTTAGGAGTTCTACAATGCATGCTTTGAGCATTTGAGTGGGAGCAGCCAAGGATAAGGCGTGTTTCAAAACCCATACTACAACACAAGAATACAAGTGTATTTCCAACTGTAATAGCACTGTGCCTCAGATGAGGCCTGGACCTAATCTGAGTGTTTCTTTAATTATTACCAAGATACAAGGAACATATGAGGGGTATGTCATTATGCTAATTTGTTTTAAAAACACCAGCTTCTATCTTTAGAACTTGAGTATTTAAAGTTTGTATCTAATGTATATAGTCAATGAAGTGATCTATACTTGATCTTTGAAAAGATTGAGACTGTTTTTAATATGTGTGAATTTCAGGTTTAAGAAAGTGATCAACTGTAATGAAATTAATATTTTTTTTCATGAAAATAGTCTCATTGTTTGATAACTTTGAGTTTTAATGTGGTGCAAGGGAATGGTTGAGAATGTTTGTGTCACTGTTACTGATCAACTGTAGGCATTCAGATTCTTCATTTATCATATTTGATGTGTTCAAAAAATTGACAAGAAGGCTGCTATGTATTGATTGCTTGAATCTTCTTGTGTTTATACAGTTCGTTGCAGTAATTCAAGCTATTTTGTCTGCTGGAAAACAGCTTCAACAACTTAACATAGGAGATGGGAATAATAATACATTGCACTCTAATCTGTTAAAAAAGTTAATTTTGACTGCTTCCTCTGGCATTGTTATTGACAATGCTGCAAAATTGTTGTCATCTTTAAATAAAGACGTTGCTGATCAAGGAGATCTAACAAAATTAATCATTGCATCAGAGGGACAATTCCCAGAGGTTTGTCAATGTCTTTTGCATTAAAAATTTACTTTTTACAATTTCCTTCTTTATACTTTTATCTTGAACCATGTTGGTTTTATTACTGTGTATAGATCATTAGAGCTCGGAAGGCTTTCAAGCTGGCGGTGGAACACTTAGATTCATTGATTGACTTGTATCGCAAACGGTTTGGAATGCAAAATTTGGAATTCATGAGTATTTCTGGAACAACTCATTTGATTGAGGTAGTCTAATACTCTAATTAGATGGAAAATCCATAATTTTTTTTTACTAGAAGAAAATCCATAATATTTAAACATTGCAGATGCTTGAAATTTGGTTACAAAATTCCATTTAGTATTCCAGTTCTTGCTACTTCCTCAGTTTTCTCTTATTGCCATGTAGTGCTCCAAATTTGCGTCTTAATATTCTTAACTTGATAAACTGAAGGAATGTGTTTTAACTTAAAAATAAATTACGGTAATGGCTCTCTTTCGCTTGCCCTACCTGCACCCCTCAAATAAGGGTATAATGTATAAGATAAGACCCTTCTTTTTTGGCTTCTTTTCTCCTTAAGCCTCTGGTTGGTATCAGTGAAATACTATGGAAATTGAGTAGAGGGTTAAGACTTAATTTGTTTGGTATCAATGAAATATCTAGGAAAGAAATAAAAAGGTTGTGGGGCTTAGATAAAAAAATCCTCTTCAGAAGGAGAGCGGAAATGTTGTGGAAATGGGAAGATGTGAGGAGAGAGAGTATAAATTGGGAGAGTTTAGGAGAGAGTGTACTTTTTTATCCTTTTATTCTATTTTCTTCTTTACTTCTTTCAAACCAAACACCCCTAAATTTCACTCCTTGTCTGACCTATTTTCATTCACTTTATTTCTCTCTTCTCTATTTTCATCTATCTGATTTATTTCTCTCTTATCAAACACACCTTGAATGTAGAAGACAAACCAAACATATTTACAATAGTCTTAAAATCAAAGTAGTTTTTTTGGTAATACACAAAAGACAAAAAAATAGAGCTTTTGTAGGAAGGAAAAGAAGCCCCAAAACTGGGCCTACCACTACTAAAGATGGGTCGAAAATGCTTATTGCATGTTCCCAATGCCCATTTGGTACTTTTAAACTTTTTCTACATTAAAGTTGATATTACCAATTGTCTCTATTTTATTTTCCTTTCTTTCCTTAAACAATTTTTTATTTATTTATTTTTTTTATAATTTTCTGTTTCTTGTTTATTAGTCAAGAGCTCTGATTTAACTCAAGTTCAAAACTGTTGTATTTTTCCATAGAGTAAATGCTTGACAGTGAAGACGTTTTAATTGCCATTTATTTTATGTTTGGCTGCAGTTATCAACTAATGTAAAGGTTCCTTCAAACTGGGTCAAGGTAAATAGCACAAAGAAAACAATTCGATATCACCCTCCTGAAGTAGTGTCAGCATTGGACAAGTTATCATTAGCAAAAGAAGAACTCACTGTTGCCTGCCAAGCAGCTTGGAATAGCTTTCTTAGGGACTTCAGTAAACACTATGCTGATTTCCAAGCTTCTGTTCAAGCACTAGCTGCTTTAGATTGTCTACATTCACTTGCCATTCTTTCAAGAAATAAGGTTTGTTCTTAAAGGAATTTTCAAGTGTCTTCAAATATTTCTTGCATCTTTAATATAATTCTCTATTTTCTGTAATAGGGTTATGTTCGGCCAGTGTTTGTAGATGATCATGAGCCTGTTCAGATACAAATTTGTTCTGGTAGACATCCGGTATGAATTTAATGGCTTATACTTTTGTATGAAATTCTTCACCTTGTGGGATTAGGCTTTTGTTGTTGTTGTACTTTTGTATGAATTGACATTCATGTTTTCTTGAATCCATTTGAGTTGCAAATCCTTGCCTGTAATATTTGTGGTTTTGCTGGTTTGTGTATTTAGTACACACCCTCATGTGCATTAATTTTCTTCAAATTGGTTCTTGGATGACTAAGGCATTGTCTTGTGCATCGAAACAATTGTTTGACGGTTGCAAAAGTAGTTGAAATGACTTTTGCAACTTTATCTAGTGTAAACCAGAATACACTTCCCTCAAAATTATCAGTGTTGCAATACTTTTGACTTCAACTCAGTTGATTCAAGTTCGTCATTATTGATTGGTAACCAGAGGTTCATTCTTCTAAGTCATTTCTCACCAGGTTTTGGAGACTACCTTACAAGATAATTTTGTTCCAAATGATACAAACATGCATGCAGATGGAGAGTACTGTCAGATTGTTACTGGACCCAATATGGGGGGAAAAAGTTGCTATGTTCGCCAGGTGGCTCTGATTGCTATAATGGCTCAGGTATCAATATAGCATCTGCCATATTTGTGCTTTGATTTTCTCCCATTAATGCATCAACCTGTTGAGGTTGTGCTGTAGAGCATAAGCTTTACTTTGTAAATACTGAAAGGCAATTATATAGTGTGAAAGGTTCTGTATATCATGTCTTGAAATTCAGTTAACTTTTTGTTTCAAATTATTTTCTATATTTTCAGCTTAAGTTGATCTATTTCCCCCTCCAAAATATTTAGCTTACTGCTTTTCTTTGACAACCTAGTCCCTTCCGGCTGTTGCTTTATTGAAACATCTCTGATCTCTCTAGGTTGGTTCCTTTGTACCAGCATCATCAGCAAAACTGCATGTCCTGGATGGAATCTACACTCGGATGGGTGCTTCTGACAGTATTCAGCAAGGGAGAAGCACCTTCCTAGAAGAACTAAGTGAGACTTCACATATACTACATAGTTGCACAGAACATTCACTGGTTATCATTGATGAGCTTGGGAGAGGTACAAGTACACATGATGGTATGGCCATTGCTCATGCAACATTGCATTATCTTCTGAAGCAAAAAAGAAGCATGGTCCTCTTCGTCACTCACTATCCAAAGATTGCCAACCTGGCTGCTGAATTTCCTGGCTCTGTGGCAGCATATCACGTATCACATCTGACCTCACGTGATGCAAGTAAAAATTCCAACTTGGATCATGATGTCACTTACCTCTACAAGCTCGTGCCTGGTGTTTCAGAGAGGAGTTTTGGCTTTAAGGTTGCTCAACTAGCACAGGTAATAAATTCACAAAATTATATATTACTATTGCACACCTGTCAGAAATACAAACATTACTAGTGCACTGCTGACAGAGCAATTGGTTGATTTTGTTTGAGTTGATAAGAGATATGTGATGCATAAATCTTCCTCAAGTAAAGCTAGTCCATTCATTACAGACAAACATTAGGGCTAGGAAATTTGGGGATTGCCTTAGTCCTTAGCATCTGAGTTTGACTGCTGAGGTCTCTAATGATTAAATTGTTGAAATTTATTATATATTGACTTTCATTTAAGAAAGTTGGAAACATCATGCTTTTCAGTTACCATCACATTGCATCAGTCGAGCCATGGTCATGGCTTCCAAATTAGAAGCACTAGTAAACAATAGAATACATAGTAGATCAAGAAAGGAACTACTATTGGATATGCTGGTGATTGGTCAAGAGCAAGAACAGCTTATGGCTCAACCATATGATCGTCCACATCAAGAGTTTGGTATGGCTTACAAAGATTTCTATTTAAACTTAAAAGCTGCTCTACAAGATGATGACTGTGCAAAAAACTTTCACCTTTTGGAGCATGCTAGAAGCATTGCAAGGAAATTAATTGGCAGGTCAGCTACCTTGTCTTTTCTTCTTCTTCTTCTTCAACTTCTTTTTTTTCATTTTTTAAAAGAATGGATATTGTTAACTAATTTTTATCTCATTACTCACAACTTAATAGCTCCCTTTAGTTAACTAATATGTCAGTACTTTTCCACTATAAGAAAAGGAGGAGGGCTTGCTTAGTGACAAGATTATCAGTTTAGACCTTTAACTCAATTTTCTCGTCAGATATTATCTATATAATATATTTAACATCAGAATAGTTGTTTAGTTACATGAGGCTGTAACAAAGAAGCTTTGATAATTATGTTTGGAGTGATTGACTAACTGATTTCTTTGTGGTTGATGGAGTTAACGTCAAAAATTTTATTTATCACAACTCTAATTAAGTTTGCATATGCATTAGCAGATAAATGCATTATGGGTAAGACAGGATGACTTGCAGAAGCAGGGTTCAGGTCTCCTCCAGTGTTGTAGAATGTAGATAATATCTAGCATAAAATAAAATTGATTCCGTAATTTTTGCTTCTTTACCTTTCTCCTGCCAAGCTTATAATTTTGTAATTTTGGTCATGCTTGGGAATTGATTTTGTTTACTGCCATGTATAAGGATGTCCGTCCTTTTTGAGCCTACGGAAGTAAAAGCAAAGGTATGACTGTAAATAACTACGTTTATCCTTAAAATATTTATTTAATATTATTAACTACGTTTATTGACAGATAACTTGCATGCTAGTATCATATAAATAATTAGGCTCCGGTGTTCTTTCAGTGCGGCATATGGTTGTCCTGAGGGTATCTTTTGTAGAATATGGCTTCGAATTTAACGGGTCAGTATTGGGCTAATAGAAGTGTTAGTAGGTAAAATGTCTTTCTCCAAACATTAATGGGTGGAAAGTATTAACAGTACTTCATGCAAAGGAAGTTTTGTGCAAATAAATATCTTTCAGCTGCAAAAGTATATATATATATATATATATATATATATATATATAGAGAGAGAGAGAGAGAGAGAGAGAGAGAAGGGTTATAATACCGGTGTAACTTTTACTAAGTGTTACACCGCTCAATAACTTTATATTAAATGTAAATTTTGAAAATCCAACC